GTCCCGCGGCGGCCCCGGCCCTGTGGGGCGGTGGTCACTCCCCCCCAACTTTTCCAAGAAACCTCGCTTCCCTTCCCCAGCCCCCCAGCCCCGTCTCTGATCCCAGGATTTACAGAACAGTGGGCTGAATTCCGCCCACCGAGAAGCCCGCTGCCATCTCCTCGTGGTGCCCCTTTTTATCTGGATAATTCAGGTGAAAGTACCCCCCCACCTCCAATTATTCGGATAATTGCTTGGGGTCCTCCGCCCTCCCGTGTTTAGACAGCTGGAGATTGATGGCCCGGGTCTCTTGAGTCTCCCCCAGCCCCGAGCCTCCTCCTCTCCACGTCTCGCTCTAAACCATCCCTGAGCCACACACTCGCCGGATGCCATTTTCCGTCCTGTAAATCACTGGGCAAATAGAACAAGGCGTTAGAAAGCCACTTGAAACATGTGTTTTATTGGGGTCAAGGGAGAGAACAGGGATAAAGGAAGAGCAAGAAGAGCAACTTAACATCTCAGCACCAAACACCAAAACCTGTCTTGAAGATGTACCCTTCCCAACCAACGACCCCAGGAAATGGAAAAGCATTTGCAGAGACAAATCCTTGGAAGGAAACTGAGGACAAAGTCTACAGCTAGAAATGAACCCTGTAAAAAAGCTAACAAACCCTGTTTCCAAAAACCCTTTCCTCACAGCTAGCAGAAACCCAACCCTTGATATTACTACTACCAAGAAATACAACAGAATGACAAGAAGAAGATGAACTAAGACGCTTTTGTGATGATAAACCACAGGGTTCTACCAGCCTTTACACAGCAAAGTTTGACTACAATTCAGATGGACACGTCTTTGGTCTTTCTTTCTCTCTCTCTCTTTCTTTCTTTCCTCTCTCTCTCTCTCTCTCACACACAGCTGAAATCCTTTCAGTTTTCTTAATTCGTAGAGCAGAAGCAGGAGTGAGAATGTCAGCCTTGGGAAGAGTAAGTGAGGTGTGGAAGCTGGAGATACGGGGGAGGTGGGGTACATTTTGAGACAGCTAGAAATCCATGGGTCAGCCGGAGGGAGGAAAATGTCCATGGGAAACACAGTTCTATTCTCTCCTCGACAGGGTTCATCTTCTTAGTACACAGGGACTCAGAGAAAGACTGCTAGATCCTACCCGGCATTAGAGAAGCCTCTCCTAGTTCTAAGGTTACAGACCTCAGAGTGCTATTGTCCGTTTCCAACCAAATCTAGGAGGAGGCAGAGACAACTTAGGAGGGTGCAGACTCCCACAGCCTGAGCCACAGACAATGCCTCCCATTCTCCATGAGGACCCTCTCAAAGCCGGACTCTACTTTTCTACCTCTTCTTTCAGACTTCCTCTTTGCTCAGCCCCTCAGTTGTAGCTAAATGCAAAGTTCATTTGCTCACGCTTGGGCTTTAGAGGAAGAAAAGGTTAAGTTCGACTCATCTGCCAACGTATGCCCAGCCCACAGCATAGGCCATCGACCCTTCAAAGCAGGAAGAAAGTGAAGCTCAGGACAAAAGCTTGCAAGACTCATCGCCGCCACCGCTGGCTTCAGAGTAAACAAAAATTAAAACCGACATCAAGCCTGGCGAAGCCTTGTACACAGGCAGAGAAACTGTCAGACCCTGGCTGGAAGACCACTTGCTAGCCAGCCAATGAGCCCCACATGAATCAGCATGGAGACTTTCTGTCCAGAAGCCCTGTAGGCCAGCTCCACCATGGGCCAGGCCTGAAGGGCTTGCCTGCGTTTCCCAGTGGGGTTCTCAGATGACAGCAATGCGATCTGGGTTCGCTTAGAGGAGCAAAGACCCAGCGCCCAGCCACACCTGCTCAGAAGCCTGATTTTTTTTTTTTTTTTTAGGTGATCGGCTTTCCCTTCCATTTCTGAAACTAAACTATCAGCCAACTTAAGAGAGGGAAACAGAGAAGGAAGCAGAGAGAGAAAGTGGGACAGGAAGAAGCCTTTGTGAAGCAGAGGCCTTGAAAACAATCCCTTCCTTTCTCCCTTCTACAAGATGGGAGAGCCTCCCCCACGGCCTTGGGCCTTGGTGCTCTAGGTCTGCTCTCTGATGTCTTTCCCTCTACAAATGTGCCCTCCACCATCCCTCCCCCGCCAGGCTCCTCCTGGCCCAGGGGCAGAGGACCACTGGAAGGATCAGGAGAGGACTCACCCATGGGGCTGCAGCTCTTCCAGGCCCGGTGGAGGCAAATTTTCAGGGGCAGGATTCCAGGCTGCTCTCATCTGGGTGGGAGGGAGACGTTGTGAGTTGCGTCTCCCAGCTCCCTGGAGCTCCCAGCTTTCCTCTCAGAATTAGATAACAGGAAAAATAGATAAGAGAAGTGGTTCATTAATTCAGCAAAGCCCTGTGGGTTTTTTTTTTTTCCTTTTCCTTTTGGTATGTGTAGAAGTACAAGGAAACCCTGCTAGGGAATGGAGCCTGGCTGAATTTTTTTTTTTTTTTAAGCCTGTGCTCATGAAGCTCCAGAGCTGCTTTTCAAGGTCATTCAGAAGGACCTGGGGAACTGCTGGGGAGAAGGCTTGTTCCAGGCCCCAGCCCGCTGAGACACAGGGCCACGCTGACAGGCAGGGAGGACCGCTCGGCCGAATTTGCTGCGATGGGCTAGAAATAATAACAGCAGTGCTACACCTGGTTTGGCAATGGTGTTGATACTTGTTCCCAGCACCCTGCTCGTCAGCTTGTAGGGGCTCCTCACTGCAATGGCAGCTAGGCAGAGTGTAGATACTCCGGGTGAGGTAACAGAGCTCAGAAAGGCCCAGTCACACAGCAAGGAGGGCATGGAGCCCAAATTGAAATCCAGATCAATGGAGTCCGGATTCTTACAATGGATTCTTACAATAGCGAGAGACCTTGAAATTCCAATCGCCTCTGCAATCAATGATTTCCACCGCTCCCCCATAGGCGACTGTCTGCACTACTTGAGTTCTCATGGTCCTGGGGTGCTCAGTTCTCATGGTTGTGGGGTGCTCAGCACTACTCTGCTGGCCCCCAAGTGATGGCAGGGCCGAGAACTCATGAAGGAACATCGGGTGTCTTCCTAGAAAACAAAACACAAAACCTGTACATACAAACACGGTCCCCAGTGAGTAGCTTCCTTCCATGTAACCACAATTCCTTCCAGGCAAGAGGATTATTAGATGTTATTAGGTATAGATCAGGAATCTGGAAGAGACAACAGGGGAATCGCCATATATCAAAGAGCCAGTGTGTGGTAGGAAAGAAACTAGAAAGGCATGCGAGAAGGGAGAATAGAAGACACACAGGAATAGTTTTCCCTTCCAAGAAGCTTTCTTATGAATATTCCTCCCTCCCTCCCTCCCTCCTTCCTTCCTTCCTTCCTTCCTTCCTTCCTTCCTTCCTTCCTTCCTTCCTTCCTTCCTTCCCTCCTTCCTTCCTTCCTTCCTTCCCTCCTTCCTTCCCTCCTTCCCTCCTTCCTTCCTTCCTTCCTTCCTTCCTTCCTTCCTTCCCTCCTTCCTTCCCTCCTTCCTTCCCTCCTTCCTTCCTTCCTTCCTTCCTTCCTTCCTTCCTTCCTTCCTTCCTTCCCTCCTTCCTTCCCTCCTTCCTTCCTTCCTTCCTTCCTTCCTTCCTTCCTTCCTTCCTTCCTTCCTTCCTTCCTTCGATGTCTTTCTCTGTTTCTTTGTTTCTTTATCTCTGTCCTTCTCTCTCTTTCTTTTTTTGAGGTCCCAAACAACTTGAAGTTACCAGAGTTTCATTGGGTTGAAGTTTTTGTTTTTGTATTGTTATTTTAAAGGTGATGTACAGAGGGGTTACAGTTACATAAGTCAGATAAGGAGTACATTTCTTTTTCTTAATGTATATTTTTTTATTGTAAAAATACCATGCAAAGGAGTTATAGTTACATGAGTAAGGTAATGAGTACATTTCCTATCGAGTATTGTTACCCCCTCCTTTGTTTTTCCCCTACCATCCCTTCCCTCCCCACCTCCCCTACTCCCCCCTTCCCCTGAAGTTGTAAAGTTCATTTTCAACATAGTGTCTTGTACACCTCATTGTTACTATGGGTCAACCTGTATCCTTGTTTCAGCATTTTGTTATTTCCCTTCCCCTCCCCAATTAGAAAAATGTATATACAAGATGTAAGGCACTGGAATCAAATACAGTGAAAACAGGGGCTTTGGGGGAAGAACATACAAAAGAAACAAAAAAAAATCACATAGTACATTATAAGTACATTCAAAACAACAGCAACAAAGATAAAACCTCTTGTGTCTCTATCTTGGGGTTCATTTCGCTTAGCAGCATCTTCTGTGGTCATATAGGAGTACATTTCTTTTTGGACAAAGTCACGCCTTCCCTCACTTTCTCCCAGTTTTTTCCTCCCACTGCCACTCACAGTTGTGTAGTTCATCTTCAACATCATGTAGACTGAGTAACACTGCTACATTTGTTACCCTTTGTCCCTCCATTTCTGTACCCGTTTCCCCCCCACCCCCAAGACAGATAAATGAGCAAACAAGTCAAAAAATAGCAACAAGGAAAAAAGTCTTGTTTCCATTTCCTGGAGTTCATGTTGATAAATATTATTTTGTATGATCAGATTCACTCTTCACTGAGAGTGTGTGTATGAATGTCTAAAGTCCTGAATAATTTATCCTGTCCCAGTATATTTTAGATCTAGCTTCTGCATAGAGAGAAAACATGTGCTGTTTGTCTCTCTGAGCTTGGCTTACCTCACTTAACATGATTTGTTCTAGATCCATCCATTTCCCTGCAAGTGACATAATATTGTTCTTTCTAATGGCTGCATAAAGTTCCATCATGTACAGGTACCATATTTTTTGGATCCACTCATCGATTGTAGGTCATCTGGCTGTTTCCATAACTTGGCTATTGTGTCTACTGCCGCAGTGAACAGGGATAAGAGTGTTTTTATGGTATCCTGGCTAGTGATGTTCTGGGTAATGCCCAGGGGTGGAATCGCTGGGTCGAAAGGAAGATCTGTGTTTAGATCCAGACTGCTGTCCAGAGTGGTCGTCCTAGTCTACACCCCGCCAATGAGAGTTCCTTTTCCCCCCCATTTCTGTTATAAATACTTTCTAAGTGATGAATAAGGTGTCCATTATTGCTTTCTGTCTCTGTGCTGTTCCCTGGACTATGACTTGTGTGCCACAGAAGACACGGTTGCAGTGTCAGATCATTAAAATTCCTGAAGAGTGAGCTGTGCGGGAGGCTGTGCACATGCAGAACCCTGCCACCCTCCCAAGTGCAGCCTCCTAGCCACGGTCACCAGCACAGTGATTGGCTCACGGGGAAGATCTCCCTGCAGAGTTGCTGCTATCAGTGTAAAACACACACAACACCAAGTTGACCAGTTCAATCATTTAATTTTACTTACCTTCTGTACACTGGTGCTGGAGCTTGAACTCAGGGCCTGGGCGCTGCTCCTTAGCATTTTTGCTGAAGGTTCGCACTCTACCACTTGAGCCACAGCACCACTTCTAGCTTTTTGACAAGTAGTTTGTTGGAGCTAAGAGTTTCATGAAGTTTCCTGCCTGAGCTGGCCTTAGATCTCAGCCTCCTGAATAGCTAATATTACAGGTTCTGAGCCACCAGTGCCTGGCCATTGCTCTACTTTCTGCCTCTGTGAATTTGGCTACTCTAGACCGGCATCCATGGACTCTACGGTATTTGTCCTTTGTGACTGAATGTAGTGTTACAGCTTCAGAGTTCATCTATGTGGCAGCACACATCAGCATTTCTGCCCTTTCTGTGGCCGGGTGACATTGTGGCCTGTGTGCGGACCACATTCATCCATCTGTTGATGGCTGTTTGGGTTGTTGCCACTTTGGGTTGTTGGAAATCATACTGTTATAAGCATGGGTGCAGATATCTGCCTCAGTTCCTGTTTCCAGTTCTTTTGGGTATATTCCCAGAAGTGGGATTGCTGGATCGTATGGGAATTCCATGTTTCATATTTTGAACCATGGCCATAAAATTTTCTGCCTTTTATGGAGTTTGGATCTAAAAATTGGAGAGCAGAAATATCCACTTATCCTAATTGTTGTCATATTGAGGAGCTGATTGCCCTGCCTGCTCAGACGTTTTGTGAAGAGAACACGTGTGTTGGATCACAGAGGATGCTCATTCTACACTGAACTATTAGGGAGGAAACCCCAGCCTCACAGAACACCGCGGAGAAGACTTGCATTTACTCTAGCTCTGACATCTCCTTGCCTCTGTCCTCTATGTGTGACCATGGGAGTCTGGGTTCCTACAGCAACACAGGGTCACCGGTGGCCAGGAAGAAGCCCCAAGTCATAGCAAACATATTCCTGTGTTGCAAAATGAAGGACAAAAAAGAGGCAATGCTAGGAGCCTTCATGACACATCTCTCCATCCATTTGTGATTTATTTTGTGAGGCTGAAGGAAGTTCTAGGCTTCAAAATTTCCACAGGATTTATGTAATTGGGGGAACTTGAAACTCCACCTGTGACTTTGAAGACTTTCGTGCCAGTGAAAGTCTTCGGGAGGGGGAAATCACACCCCTAGTGGGGTTTACTCACTGCTGGGCCTGGAGTTAAGGCCCTGCGGTAGCTCAGGTGGGCAGGGCTTGATGGCACAGAGCTAGAGAAGCAGCTGCCGGTGACTTTGGAGTGTGTCTGTCCTTGGCAAAGGCTGGTTGTCTCCCATGTTCCTGTGCTCATGCTTTTGGTCTGCGTGGTCAACCTGGGGATGAGGGATGTGGAGTCTTGGCTATTGATAACACCAGCCAGAGCTTCGTTTTCCCCAACTGCAGCATACCCACAGGCTCAAGAGGCCAGGAAGACTTTCTGAGGAGTCATTTGTGAGGTTTCCTCCCCTATAAACACAAACAGAACAATGCACATACATGTATACTTATGTTCATGGACACACAGGCAGACATGCAAATGTGCACATAAACTTTTTCCTTCTCTTTTTCATTTTTTTTTTATTTTTGGTCAGTCATGGGGCTTGTACTCATGGCCTGGGTGCTATCCCTTAGCTGTTTTTGCTCAAGGCTAGCACTCTACCACTTTGAGCCACAACACCACTTCCAGTTTTCTGGTGGCTAATTGGAGATGAGAGTCTCACAGGTTTTCCTGCCTGGGCTGGCTTTGAACTGTGATCCTCAGATCTCAGCCTCCTGAGCAAGGATTATAGGCATGAGCTACTGGTACTCTGCTACCTTTTTCTTAATGAACTATTACAAGTGTGTAACAATTGCTAATGCTGCTAAACTTGCAAGTAGGATGGAAGATAGAAAGAGACAGAGAGACAAGCTCTTACCTTTGCCCTATGCCCTTACCAGGTGCCTCTTACACTGGGACTTCCCTTCTGAGGAGTGTCCTTTTGCTGGCATGTTTGACACTGAGCATACGATTAAGTGATAGCTGCCAGAAATGACATTCCTAACTCTAGCATGAGCAGCTTCACCTCTAAAGCCTCTGTTTTCAAGTCTGTCGAATGGATGCAGTAAGAATTCTTCTTTCATAGAGTTCCTAGTAAGGTTTTGTATGATAGCCATGAGAACCATGTAGTCTGATGCCTGGTACTTCAAAAACAATCACTCACTACTTATATTGTCAGTGTTAGCTATGGTAGGAGGGGAGGCTTGTCTTCAAACTAGTGAGCTTGCTCTGGCCTTCTATGCCAATGGGCAACTGGAGGCTAGTATTAGCCAGCCATGACCCCAGCAGGACAAGGAGCCCTGTGGGCAGGTCTCTATTCTGTGGACATGGCCAGAGGATGGTGGGTTCCTTTGTGACTAACTCCTGGGGCTGGCACCTTCTTTGCCAGGCAGCAACTCTCAGATTCCCTGAAGTCCCTGCAATATGGGCAGAGGATTTGAAAGCAAGCTGTTCACAGGGCTCGATTCCAAGTCCACGCCTCACTTCCGCTCGGTTCTGATGGCTGCTCTTTGCTCCAGTCCGCCACACTTCAAAACTGTAAATGGAAAATACAATTCACTCACCATAAAACTCTCTCTTTAAACGTTCACAGCTTTTCAGTGGTTTCAGAAGGTGACGCAGCCAGCATCGGCATCTACACCGGAACATGTTTATCCCCGGGGGCTGGGGGCTGGTTGGATTCAAAAAATGACTGTTGCCAGTTTCTTGTGTAAAACTCCAGGCATCTGGTTAGACAGTACTGGTAGCTTTGTTAGTCCAGCTCCAGGCCGGCTTGAGGGTGTGAGTCTGTCCCCAGGTCACACCTACTCCCTGTTCTTTCTGTTCCCTGATGCTGGTGAGCCAGGGTTCCTGGTGCTTGTGGTGATCACTGCTGGGTACCTACCAGGTACCGGATGCTGCACCAGCAGCTCTATATATGTCTCTTATCTGTCACTTTTAGTTGCTATGACAAATACCTGAGAGCAACACCATAAAAAGGGGCCTAACTTTTTATTTTTAACTTAAAAAAGTTAAGTAGTTGTAGAAAGGGGTTTTAATCCCAGAAGTCAGGCCGTGCATACAATGCATCTTGATCCATGTCAACCCTCCCATCGTTCCCGGTTCACTTTGACTTGTGGTTGAGAGGTTTCAGCCCACGGTCACTTGGCGGCATTGCTGTAGACCTATGGTGAAAGGAGAGCATCATGGTATAGTGAACAGAGCATTTTGCCTAATGATGGCTGGGAAGGAGAGAGAGAGTCAGAGAGACACACAGAGAGACAGAGGTGAGGAGAGCTGGGATGCGATGAGGGACATAGGTGTGCCCAGGTATCTTTCAGTATGTCTCCAGCAAACTACTTCATCCAAGTAGGCCCCACCTGCTACTTTCTGCCATTTCCTAATAATGCCATTATATTATGTATGAGCCCATCAGAGGACGAATCCATTGATAAAGTCAGAGTTCTCGTGATCCAGTCACTTCCCAATGGCTGGTTACATTGTCTGGGGATTAAGCCTTTAACGTAGGGGACTGTTGGGCAGATACTTCCTATCCTAACACACACATTCTGTCTGTCTGTCTGTCTGTCTCTCTGTCTTGATGAAGTTCAGGGCCGGATATACTCAGCAGTCATGCTACCAATGAGACCTGCTCTCAGCTCCATGTGAATGATCATTTATCCTCATATCTCATACTACAAGAAGGCCTTGCATTCTTATCTTCCTGCTGGGCTGGGCTGGCTCTGGCTTTACCCCTCTTCTTCTGGACTTGCATTCTCTGTTTGGACTCTTTGCTAAGCCATGTGAGCAGCTGTTTGCCCAGTGGTGGACAGTTTACAAAGTGTTCACATCTGTTTTCCCATTTGATCCTCCCCTTAACTTGTGTTTGAGGGGCAAATACTTTTCATCCTTGGCCTCCTTTGAACTTGCTCGGAGGAGTCACTCTGCGCCAGAATCAGCCCTGGGAGACAAGCTTAGAATCTCAGATGGATGGATACCTGCTCATGAGGTTGAGGTTCAGTCTGTGCAGATTCACAGTCCCCTCTATCTTATGTGGGTGTGTGCATGCATTGTGAACTTGGGCTCATCTTTTTATTACCTTTAGAATATAAGGTCTGCAAGCATTGGTTCCAACACAGGGTCTCTTCTGACTTCATGTAGCATCTCTCTAAGAGATGGAAACTAACACTGTCAATGGTTTAGGGGTAATGAGTACTCTAAGCCTGGCTACCTTGAAGAGACACTCAGATTTCTCCTGGGATTTCCAGAGGGATCATGGGCAAAACCCATATATACATTAGGTTCTGAAGATGGTGAAATATGGACTGTAGAGGTTCCAAAAAACATATATTTGAGGTCTCTAGATTCAGTGGTGCCTTAATTAGGTCCATTGAATTTTCTTGACATTTGAAACAGGAAGAACACTGACAAACAGGATACCTCACATCCTATTGACCGATTGGCTATCTATAAAGGAAAATTGTGGATATACAATACTTCTTTCTTCCTTCCTTCCTTCCTTCCTTCTTTCCTTCCTTCCTTCCTTTCCTTCTTTCTTTCTTCCTTCCTTCCCTCCTTCCTTCCTTCCTTCTTTCCTTCCTTCTTTTCTTTCCTTCTTTCTTTCTTTCCTTCTCTTCCTTCTTTCTTTCTTTCTTTCTTTCTTTCTTTCTTTCTTTCTTTCTTTCTTTCTTTCTTTCTTTCTTTCTTTCTTTCTTTCTTTCTTTCTTTCTTTCTTTCTTTCTTTCTTTCTTTCTTTCTTTCTTTCTTTCTTTCGTCAGTTGTGGGGCTTGAACTCTGGGCCTGGGCACTGTCCCTCAGCTCTTCAGCTCAAGGCTCCCACTCTACCATTTGAGCCACAGGGCCACTTCCAGTTTTCTGAGTGGTTTATTGGAGATAAGAGTCTCACGGACTTTTCCTGCCCTGAGTGGCTTTGAACCATGATTCTCATATCTCAGCCTCCTGAGTAGCTAGGGGGTACAGGCGTGAGCCACCTGCACCCAGCAGATACACAATATTTCTTCTTATAGTATGACAAATATTTTATATCAATTTTTCAACAATTAAGGCTTCCTTGGACATTACATGTTCTAAAAGGAAAAAGGTGTATTATTGATTTCATCCCTAGCCAGCATTTCCATTTTACTAAGAAAAGATGTATGCTATTAAAATAAGAAGACTAGACATCCTTTTGCAGCTCAGCTCCTAGAAAAGTGTGTTAGCTGCTCACTTACTGCTGGTTTATATAAACTTTTAACTTTGAAGTAACTAGAGATTCTCAGGAAGATAAAAACACAGTAAAGACACAGTCCATTTGCTCTCCAAATCTCCCCACTGATTTATAATATACAATTCTTCTATACAACAAACTCAGGACTTTGACTTTGATACAAAATGTGAGTGAGGTTACAGATACACGTAACCATCAGTGTGGAGTTTTCCTTCTTTCTTCCATTCTTCCTTCCTCCCTCCTTTCCTTCTTTCTTTCTACCTTCCTTCCACCATCCTTCCTTCCTTCTCTTTTCTTCTTTCTTTTTCTTTTTTGCTGGTCCTGGTACTTGAACTCATGGACGCTTTGAGCCTCTTTTTGCTCAAGGCTAGCGCTCCACCACTTGAGCTGCAGGATACTCCCTGCTTTTTCTGAGTAGTTTTATTGGAGATAAGAGTTTCATGGACTTTTCTGCCTGGGCTGGTTTCAGAGTACAATCCTCAGATCTCAGCCTCCTGAGTAGCTTGGACAACAGTATGAGCCACTGATGCCTGGCTTCTTTTTTTCTTCTGTGTCAGTCCTGGGGCTTGAACTCAGAGCCTGGGCATTGTCTTTGAGCTTTTTTGCTCAAGGCTAGCACGCTACCACTTGAGCCATGTGTCTACTTCCAGCTTTTTGGCAATTAATTGAAGATAAGAATCTCATGGACTTTCTTACCCAAGCTGGTTTTGAACCTTGATCCTCAGATCTCAACTTCCTGAGTAGCTAGGATTACAGGCCTGGGATACTGCTGCTCTCTCTCTCTTTCTTTCTTTCTTTCTTTCTTAATCTTCTCTGCTAAATTCTATCTTGTAATTGCTTTATGAGCTCATTTATGTACTTTATATTTTAGCACCTTAGTTGGTTCCCTTTTCCTCTGCTGTTGTTGTTGTTCTTGTCATTTTCTCTGTTCCTCCCTGTTTTCCTGTGGAGCATATTTTAAGACTGCAGTTTTTTTTCTCTGTAGTGTTTTTGAATGTATATCTTTGTATAGCTTTGTAGTTGGTGCAGTAACTACTGCATGATATACACTATCTACTGATACCAACATTTTATCAGTTTGAGTGAACTTCAGAAAGCTAGCTCCTTTTATCTTCTTTCATTCTCTCCCACTTAGAATTATCTTAAACTAATTCCCTGTACATAAACTGAGGATCATAATACCACTGCTACAATTGTTACTTCAACTTCAGATATAATTTAAAACACTTAAGAAATGCTGTGTTTTCTTGTTCAGTTTTTCTTCCTTTCTGATGCTTCAAGGTTCCATCTTTTCTTATTTCCTTTCTGGTTAGAAAATATCCTCCAACCATTCTTTTGTGTTGCTGTTGGTGGTGGTAGACAGAGTCGTAGACTCTGTCTCTGAGCATCTTTGTGCTCAAGGCTAGCACTTTACCGCCACAGCATCACTTCTGTTTTTGAGTAGTTCATCGAAGAGAAGAGTCTCATGGGGACTTCTGTGCCTGGTCTGGCTTCAGACCACTGTCCTCAGATCTCAGCCTCCTGAGTAACTAGGATTTCAGATGTGAGCCACCAGTGCCAGGCCCTCCAGCCATTCTTTTATTTTGATGTCAATATAATCATTTAGCTAAGTCTTTTAAGATTAATTTGGCAACCAATTCTCTTTGTTTTTCTTCATCTGATAATGTCTTGATTAACACTTCATTCCTGGAAAATATTTTGGTTGGGTACAGAATTCTGAGTTGCGGATTTTCTTTTGCCCTTCTGGACTGTGTGGTCTCTACCGACAAATCTGCTGTCACTCGATGTTTTTCCTGCTGGTCCTTCCCTAGCATAGTCTCAGCCTTTTCTTCTTGATTTCCAACTCTAGGGGCCACGAGGGGTGATGGACTCCT